TTATCTTCTGTGTCTGTGTTAATTGGTTTCCCTTTTCTTTGTTGAAGAGGGTCTGTGCAATCCTTCTGCCTAGTCCGCCATCTTGCCCCGCCTCCTAATTTAGTTTTAATAGTATACAAAAGTTTGTTCCTGTATAGCTCCATTTCTTCTCCCTTCTTTTGTGCTGTTACTGTCATTCAAATTACATCTTTATACACTGTATGCCCATCAGCACATGTTTATAATCACTGCTTTATGCAGCTGTGTTTAAATAAGAGAAACAAAAGAGTTACAAACAAATAACACATTTATACTGTCTTTTAATTTATCTGTATAGTCACCTTTACTGCTACTCTTTATTTCCTCATATGGATTCAAGTTATTACTTAGTGTCTTTTCATTTTGGCCTAAAGGATTCCTTTTAAATTTTTCTGTGAATATGTGAAAACTCCATTTTCAATTTTAGGTGATATATTTTATTACAAATAAAATGAAATACTCATTCATAAAAATACGTTAAAAATATTTTGAAATGACTTTTGTCTATGAATTTAATAATGCAATAAGAAATAGTATAATAAAAACAATCACTTGGAGAATAATCCAAGGACCCCCAATGAGGGATGTAGGGCCTATTTAAGTGAAAAGCCTCAAGAATCAGACTATCATGTTATTGTTGTGTCCTGTACTTAGAAAATTAATTACATTCTGTGCTTTAGTTTTCTTATTGATAAAATAGGGTAGCAATAGTATCTATTTCAAGTTGTAAAAATTTCATGAAGTCATAATTATAAAGCCTAAAGCAAAATGGTTAGCATGAAGTGCTTAAAATATATTAGTTATAGCTATTATTTAAAAGATATATATTTTTTTTTTCCTTTTTTGTAAAATTCAATTCTGACAGTGCATCAGTCTTAATCTAATCTGGGTTATTGATATAAAAATCTTCTAATCAGTTTTTAAATGTCTTTTTTTTTTTTTTACTTTAAACTGATTAATACTCCAAAAATGCATTCTATCACTCTGCTGTTTTAAAATACTGTGTTTTTGCACCACAAAACCATAAATAGCAATCCCCTGTCCTCTGCAGTGAGGCCTAAACTACATCTTCTTCTGCCCATTGACTAGATCACTGCTGCTTTCCTGTCTAACTGAGCCATCCCTGTTCCCGAAGAAGCTCTATGTTTCCCCCTCTTTGTCTTTATCCTTATTACCTCCTCTTGGAATTATATCCTATCCGTTCTTCTGCTTAATGGCTTAAGTTCTGCTTTGACCATGCTACCTTTTAGTTGTTCCACTAAAATAAATCTTTCTGTTTAATATCTCCATAATATATTGCACGTTTTCTCTCCTTATTACTTGCCACTGAACCATACGTTTCTTAAGATTCATTTTATGTCTTACTTATATTTATACATCCACCAACAATTATTTCAGTGCCTTGTACCCAGATGATGTTTTTAAAACACACACACACACATTTTCAGAAAAGAAACTGAAATTCTGAGAAGGTAAATGTCCACTCTTTGAAATTGTTCCCTTTAAGTGGAGATGTGGTGCTGGTTTTTTATTACTGTTGATATCAATACTGTCATTTAAAAAACATTTTAGTCTACTTAAATGTACATCCATCAAATTTGTTCTTTTATGCTATGCAGGTTCCACTTTGGCTTCCATAGAAAATGCTGCTGAATCCAGTTTTCTTTCATATCATGTTGAGCCACTTAAAAGTAAAACCAGTTTTTGGATAGGATTGTACAGAAATGTTGAAGGTAATTTTTGCAGACCTATTATTTAATCACAAATAATCAAATTGTTGTATGTAAAGAAAGTTTTCAGTTCCAGAAATTCTTGCCTTAAATAGTGACTGATTTGTGAAAAGTTTGAAAACTCAAAGTCATTTTTTATTTAAAAGATAAAGATTGAAAATTTAAATGATTCACATATTAAGCTGTTTTCAAAAGTGGTAATTAAAAGAATATCTCCTATAGCTAAGTTAATTTAAGAAGATTTATTAAACATTTTCTATCTTATGCCCCTCCCCCCAAAAAAACGCTCAGGGAGGATACGTATAAATATTTGTATTATTATTATTTTTTAAATTTTCAACTAAAGCTGTATAAAAGCATCTTCTCAGTTTCTTTTCATGTAATAATTAGTTTATTAAAATTTTGCCAGTTAAAAGTCTGGTTTTAAACTACTATTAACTCTACTACAAAATAATATGCTTATAAATTTTGTGTCAATAAGTTGAATTTATTTTAAGATGCATTATTTGAAATAAATATTTTATTGTTATATATATGCCTATGAGCTCTGGTGGTGTAGTGGATAAGGCACTTGACTGCTAGCCAGAAGGTTAGTGGTTCAAACCAACCAGCTACTCCATGGAAAGAAGATGGGGTGATCTACTTCCATAAAGATTTACAGCCTTGGAAACCCAGTGGTGGTCACTATTAGTCAGAAATAACTCGATGGCAGTGAGTTTCGTTTTGGTAATATATACCCAGATAGATAGGTAGATAGATAACAATAATATATATATATATATTTTTTTTTTTCCTTTGTGCGTGTATGTATATGCATACACACATATATACCCACATATATATATACATATATATGTGTATGTCTACATATATACATACATATGTGTATATATATGTATGTGTATATATGTACACATATATGTGTGTGTATATACACACACACAAAGAAAAACCCAAATCCACAGACATCGGGTCGATTCTGATGCACAGTAACCTTACCGCACAGAGTGGAATCACTCCGTAGTGTTTCCAAGGTTGTAATCTTTACAGAGGCAGACTGCTTCATCTTTTTCTGCAGAGCAGCTGGTGAGTTCAAATCACCAATCTTTAGCTTAGCAGCTGAATGCTTAACCACTGTGCTACCAAAGCAACAAAGTATTTACCATTTCAGTATGTTTGACATATACGATCCAGAGACATTCGTTACATTCATCATGCTATGCAATCATTTCCATTGTCCATTTCCAAATTAAGATGGATTATTTTTAACTTCTTTATTGGCTTTATTTGCTAATTAGGAATGTGGCTCTGGATAAACAACAATCCAGTATCCTTTGTCAACTGGAATACAGGAGACCCCACTGGTGACCGCAATGACTGTGTCAATTTAATTTCATCTTCTGGGTTTTGGAATAATATTCATTGTTCTTCCTACAAAGGATATATTTGTAAAAGACCAAAAAGTAAGTAAGAAGTTTTTTGTATGGTACATATATTTATAAGCCACTATTTCTTCCAAATAAGATGTCAAGTGTGGGATTATATGATTGCCAGCTCTCTTCCTGAATAACTGAAAATCTATTCTGCCATGGTGATCAATTGCTGTCTTGAGCCTAGAGTGAGAAAGCAACAACTTTCTCTGCCTGCTTAGCTGACATAATTATTCTGGTTTATGAATACATTTATAATGAAATATCTGTGCATATGGATTTGCAAACTTGCAAGCAGTTGGGAGGACCAGTTCACAAAGCCTTACTGCATGAGGGGAAAAGGAGTGAGGCAATCATCCAGCCCAAACTAGAACAGGCCAAGGTTCTGGAAAGCAAGCAGCATTTATTACAGAATAAATAATAAAAGACTCCTTCTGAGGCTGAGTGGCAGACCATGTAAGGAAAGGTATGCTGTTATGTTGCTGTTATGTGCCATCGAGTCAGACCCAACTCATAGCGACCTTTCCGAGGTGGTATCACTACGGAAGTAGATTGCCCAGCCTTCCTTCAAAGGAGTGGCTGGTGGGTTTGAACCACCAGCCTTCTGGTTAGCAGTAAAGTGCCTTAGGCACTATGCTACCAGAGCTCCTAAGGAAAGGTATAGAGAGAATTAATTGTGTTCAAGTGCCCACAATGCACCACTCTCTGGACCTTAATAATATTTTTATGTCATTCCACTTCATATAATATTTTTCTCAAGAGCTAAATTTATTAATTGGGTAACAGATTAAAAAAAGAAGAAGATAAAATAACCCCCTGAGCAGTTTTATTATTTTTAAACTTTTTATTGTGATTTAGGTGAAGGTTTACAGGGCAATTTCATTCCACAATTCACATACATTTTGTTTCATGCATTGATTGCAATTCCCACAGTATAACATCACTCATCCCATTCCCTCCCTATGTTTCTTATTTCCATTCCTCCTTCTTTCCTAACCCTTCCTGCCTTCTGAACTTTGTCTTTGGGCAAAGGCTCACCTTTTGATCTACTATGGTTCATAGTTCTAAAGAATGGGTACCTCCCTGTTGTTCATCTTATAGACCTGTGTATTATTTGGCTGAAAATTGATCCATGGGAATAATTCCATTCTAGGCCTAAAGAGTGACTAAGGGCCATAGTCTCTGGATTCCACCAGACTCTATCCAACTAGTAAGCATGTCTTTTTTTTTTTTTTAAATGATTTTGAGTTTTGTTCCACATTTTTCTCCTATTCTGTCCAGGACCTTCTATTGTGATCCCTTTCAGAACAGTCAGCAGTAGTAGCTGGGCACCATCTTTCCTTCTGGTCTCAGGGTCCTGGAGGCTGAGGTTCACATGGTCCATTAGTCATTTGAACTAATTGTTTCCATGTGTCTTACTGTAGTTTGTGTTGATGGTTGTTCTCATCATTTTTTGGTGTTGTGAATACTGCTGCAGCGAACATGAGTGTGCATGTATCTTTTTATGTCATGGTTCTTATTGATTTTATTATTTAAAATTGTGCAGGTCTTCAATATTTTCAAACTGATTTAAGATACCATTCCCTCTGGTGCAATGTTGGAATCTTATGTCACTTTTTATTGAAATATCTTGTAATATCTTAGACTTCAGTCAGCCAATTTCAGAATTCCTAGCCTAGAATGCATTACTTATGGGCAGATTATAAGGGTGAATAACAGTACAGAAATGGAACTCAAAGCATCTCATTTTCATTCAGACATAAAACATATCTATGTATCTGTATCTTTACATACATACATACATATTATATTACCATAAGCCAAATATGGAGGTTTACTCATATCTGTAAACCAAATAATAGTCACTAAAGCATTTGACTGCTGATCAGAAGCCTGGCGGTTCAAACCCACCAACCGCTCCAAGGAAGGAAGATTGTGTGATCTACTTCCATAGAGATACCATCTTGGAAACCCAAGGAAGGGTCGTGATGAGTCAGATCCAACTCGACGCAGTGAGTTATCTACATTCAATTATTATTATTATTTTTTTTACAAACAGTTGTTGATGTTGAACCTACTCAAACAATGATGACAACAAAAGGTAAGACCATTATTGTATTTGAAATTCTATATCTATAATACATTAATACAGTATATTTTAAGAACCATAATAATCCCTTCTTACTCCCTCCTACTCTCAGTAGCATTGCTTTGGCTGTGCTAGCTTTTGTCATTTTGTTATCAACCATTTTGATTGATGCTATAGAAAAACAAGCCTAACAGTCAGGCTGGTATTTTTACCATAAGATGTTATTGGAGTCATTAGCCTATCATAAAGGGGCTTCTTATGAGACCCCATTGAAGAAATTTTTCTTAGGAATCCTTGTGGTTTTTTGTTTTGAGCAACTTTTTTAAAATTAATTTTATGTACTACTTGTATTTAGGTAACTGATGATACATATATATATATATATATTTGGCTGGTAAAAAGTATAAACTCTAAAATGGCTTACCTGCAACCCTTTTATTAGTCTTATGGATGTTATTTGTTTATTAGTTCTGCTCATGAATTCAGATTCCCACTACTATTATTTTTTTCTTTTCCTTCTTGTTTTGCTTGCTTTCTATTATTATTTTCTTGATGTTCTTATAAAGTGAGTATTTGCAAGCAGCATCAAATTATTTTGGAACAAGATGCATATTTTTAAAACATTGATTAACTAGTTCAAAACACTGATCAACTAGAAAAATGACATATTCTGGCAACTGAATAATATTCTTAAACTTTTAAGTCTTCTCTATCATAGATTTTTATGTCCTGAATTTCTATTTGACAAATGACACTTGAAAGAATAATCATGAAATTTCATTTTTCAAAGAGTAAAATTGCATTGTTCTCCATGGCATTTTACATTATGCCTCCCTCTACCTTTCTCTAATGATTTTATTTATTTATAGCTAACCCAAGGAAGATGAGCCCTTCCAAACCATCTTCCAATGTGGCAGGAGTAGCTGTCATTGTGATCCTTCTCATTCTGGCTGGTGCTGGCCTCGCTGCATATTTCTTTTATAAGAAAAGACGTGTGCACCTACCTCGAGAAGACACCTTTGAAAACACCCTCTATTTCAACAGTAGATCAACTCCAGGAGCTAGTGATACAAAAGATCTCATGGGTAACATTGAACAGAATGAACATGCAGTCATTTAGTATCATAATGTAATTTAGATGTATTTGAATTTTATAAGGTTGTAACTGAAATGTTAAAGTTTTTAATTCAATGTGATTGTTTCCTTAAAAACTAGTACTGTATCACACGCTGTCTTTTTTTTATTTGCCTTCTTGAAGAAATAATTGCTCATTTTCTAGCCTGGCAAGAGATATTCACAAAAAAGTGATAATAATATTGCCTATAACTTTTTAAAATATCTTAGGCCAATATGTGGCACAACAATGCTAACACTTAAGCATCATCAGTGTGTAGTGTCAATTTTAAGTAGATTCTAAGAACCCTGAAACAGCCGACTAAGTTTACTGAAGTGCTTTAAAGAACTTCCAAAGATACGTTACCTCTTGAAACATAATTCGGCAATTAGAAAACTATTTAAAAACCAAGTATCAATAACTCCAGGTGGCATAAAAAATTAGTCACTTTCTCTTTTCCTGGTCTTGATTTTTACTCTAATTATTTAGGATTGTGTTTGTTCATGTGCAGAAAGAAATAAGGCAGTTGAGAACTTTGTTTTCCCTAAACAGGGTTTTACAGCTTGAATACCGCAAATGTGCTCTTGGTCTTGATGTGTGTATATCAGGAATGCAAAGATGTGAAATAAAAATGTACATTTGCATAACTGGATGTATTTAGATAATGTGAAATAAACATCAAACAAGGTCTATTTTTAATAGATTTGCATTTTGGGATCTTTGTAAGTGTTAATTGCTTTGAAATAGGATTTATTTATATATTTCCTTTACACTTAATTTTACCCTTAAAATAAAAACATTATTGGAGGAATTCTTTAAATTAAACCTTTCATCTCTTTGGGAAAGAAAAGCTGCTGAAACAGGGTTTGCAAAAGGAGTTTTTTTTTTTTTTTTTTTTTTACCATAATGACTTGCACAATTTTCCTGCATCTTCCCCTAAAACACTGACTCAACTTAGAATTAAACGATTAAAGGCACTGTTATTGGCACTTAAAGCAAACCAAAACCAAATGCATTGCCACTGAGTCGATTCTGACTCATAGTGACCTTACAGGACAGAGTACAACTGCCCTGTTGAGTTCCCAATGCTGTAATCCTTAGGGAAGCTGATTGCCACATCTTTCTCCCAAGGAGCTGCTGATGGGTTTGAACCCCTGACCAGCCAAACATTTTAACCATTGCACCACTGGGACTCCTTATTGACTTCAGTCAGCCAATTTGAGAATTCCTAGCCTAGAATGCATTACTTATGGGCAGATTTTAAGGGTGAATAACAGTACAGAAATGGAACTCAAAGCATCTCATTTTCAGATCTTCCAATGTACTCATACAGACATAAAACATATCTATGTATCTGTATCTTTATATACATACATATATATTATGTTACCATAAGCCAAATATGGAGAATTACTCATATCTGTAAACCAAATTTTCGGCTTGAATATTTTGCCTTAGATAAAGTGTCATGTGGGTTGTAAAATACTTTGGAGGTTTCACATTCCACACAGGTATCATACTGCCAGCTCATACTTTTATTTTCCCAAGGGACTGCTCATGGGTAAGAGCTCTTTGAGCTCTCAGGATGGCTTTAAAGAGTCAGTGAAGGCCTGAAAATTATATGCAAAATCTTGTGTCTATTTGTGTTTGTGCACTTTTTTTCTGGGAAACAAATCACTGAATTTTCAAGAAAGTCTGTAATTTAAAAAAAAAATTAAAAAGCATATTGGATGGAGGGAGTGGAAACTGAGTTTCCAATATCCCCAGCTTAGCTAGGAGACAGGTAAAAAAAAATAGGAAGTGAGAGGTAAGCAATTGTGGGAAAGGTTGTGCAAGAGAAATGACTCCCTCCCGCACCTCAAACAATAGAAAACAAATTGCTTTTCATTTTCTTGATAAGATTAAAGCATATTGCATTAGAAGACAGTTCAATGGAAATAACAGCTGCAGAGTCAAGACAGTATGTGGGAATTATACTAAGGAAACCTCTTTCTATCTCTCACTATATATAATTTTCCTCAAAATATGAGAGAATTAGAAATATGGGATGAAGAGAAGTACATGAGTGAGCATGTACACGAGTGAGCATGGTTTAAAAATTCTTTACACAAGTCTTTTTCATTCTAATTCAGAGTTGCACTTTCACAGAAAATATCTGGGGCTTCAGACAACATATATCTTGGACATAAATGTCTTATCATTTTAGAAAAAACAAAAGTGTTAGGTAGTATGAATATTATCTATCTACTCAAAAACATACAATCAAATAGATAAGTCATATATGTCTATATAGGAGCTCTGGTAGCATAGTGCCTAAGGCACTTGACTGCTAACCAGAACCACTCCTTGGAAGGAAGGTTGAGCAATCTACTTCCATAGTGATACCACCTTGGAACTCCAAGGAGGGGTCGTTATGAGTCGGGTCTGACCCAATGGCACATAACAACAACAACATATGTCTATATACTTACCCATACACAATACTAAAATATCAAAGATTGTGGGAGGGGGAATGATGAGAGGTATAGGGTGGAGAAGAGCTTTTGTTTTATTGCTTCATTTTTGTTTTTTCTTTTTTCTCAACCAGAAGTTTTCTCTTGGGGATTAAATGTTTAAGTGCTCTTCACTTGCTTGTTGATTTAGCTTTTCACCAGGATTCAGTGGCTAGGAGAGTCCTACAGATTTTTTCCTCAGTTGAACTCAAACAGTGTGAGTGTCTATAACTTGAACACTGAAAATAAAGGTGACATCTCTTCATTTGTCCATTTTTTAGTATTCATTCATGCATCCATTTTTGCACTTACCCATTCATTCATCAAATATGTCTTGGGCATTTAATATATGTTCTGGGCATTGAACTACCCCCTTCAGATTCAAAGAGGGGTACGAAACAATGCCTTTACACAAGGAATACAGTCTAGTGGAGAGAGCAGACATATGGACAGATCATTATACAACAGTATTGTAGATTCACAGGTAGAAATCAGCTTAGGTTATTAACAGACCAATGAGAGATGCAGATATCATAGTCAGCAAGGGCAAAACTAAGTTTCATGGGGCCTGAGGATTACAGTTTTGGGAACCCTCTTAAAAATACAAAATGAATACATAAAAATAAGTACAAAAGTGAATACTTATTTAGAAAGAGAAAAGAAATAAAATAACTATTAAAATTATAATATTAAATATTATTAAATAACTATTAACATTATTATTGAAGTAACTATTTGTAAGAAGGTGGTAACTACAAAAAAATAGGAAAATTATACATTCTTTTTAGTATTAACTTCCTGAAATACTCTATAATATTGTCTTTCTGATTACCCTCTGTTCTGGTTACCTAGTGCCGTTCTGACAAAAACATACCACAAACGGGATGGCCTTAACAAACAGGAGTTTATTCTTACAGTTTGGAAGCTTTAAGTCCAAGTTCAAAGTGCCAGGCTCTAGGGGCTGGGTGAAAACCCCTCAACCTTGGGGTCCACCTCTGCCTCCTGCTCCTGGCTCACTGGAGCTAGGGGCATTTCTTCACTCAGAGAGCTGCTGGCTGCTGAGGCTGAGAAACCCAAGGTAGACCAGTAACAAGGCACAGTCCTGATGTTACCAAACTACACGACAGGCCATTAATTCAAGTCCATTTTAAGTCCCAAGGTTGGCAGAGCATGGCAGGCTGCTGAACAATGACACAGATGCATGCAGGGTCCAAGTGTGCCATAAGCTAGAGACCATTCCCCAAGGCTTCTGCTTATATACAGGAAGCGGACCACATTCCCTAAGGTAGCTATTCAGCTGCTCACAGTAGATTCCACCATGGAGTTGACTACCAGTCTCATCATGGGGAATACTACATCCAGCTGCCCAGCCACCCAACCAGGCCTAGCCAAGTTGACACACAAACTGAACTACCACAATACCACAATTGTCAACTTGGCATCTGTACAGATCTTCATTGGGTGGCATCTGTACAAATCTCTCTCACTGGGTGGCTCCAGTCCCCTAATTCCTCTAAGGGGTGACCTCACCCCCTTGGCCTGGCGGGCCCCGTTCCTCTCCCTCTTCAGCATGGCAGCCCCGCCCCCTCAGTCTTGGGCAGTGGCTATGGCTCCATGTCACTGGCTCATATGAACGAGCAGCCCCACACTCCAGAACCAAGTTGATGAAGGTCTGGCTCTTTGAAACCAGTTCTACTCCCAAAGGCCATGGTGGTTCTACTCCCAAAGTCCATGGTCCTATACTTTCAGGCTGAGGCAGCTCTGCTCCCGCTTCCTTAGTCTCTCTACCTCTGCTGATTAATGCGGAAGCCAACCCACTCTGCCGGAAATCTTCCTGCCCCAAAAGCACTCAGCTTTCTTGCTTGGTGGGCGGGCCAACCTGCTACTCCATTTCAAGCCAGTCTCTCCACCAGTTAATACCCAAAGGCAACCCACTCTACCAGGAAGCCACTGCACCCGGCTTTCTCCTCCGTGGGCTGGTAAGCCTGTTGCTGTTTAATGCCGGTTTCTGGGCTCTGCTCCTGACATCTCTCATGCTGGTCTCTCACCTCTGCTCCTGCCATCACTAATGCTGGTCTCTTGGCTCTGTTCCTGCCATCACTCATGCTGCAAGCCAGGGTCTCTCTGCCAGGTCTCTGGTCAAGGACACACTCCACTCCTGTTTCCACATTTTAGGTATCTCTCAGAGCCACACCCACTCTCTCAGTACCAAATTCTATTCTGGTTACCTAGTGCCGCTCTGACAAAAATATACCAGAAATGGGATGGCCTTGAGAAACAGGAGTTTATTCTTACAGTTTGGAGACTTTAAGTCCAAGTTCAAAGTGCCAGGCTCTAGGGGCTGGGTGAAAGCCCCTCAACCTTGGGGTCCACCTCTGCCTCCTGCTCCTGGCCCACTGGAGCTAGAGGCATTTCTTCACTCAGACAGCTGGTGGTTGCTGAGGCTGAGGAGCCCAAGGTTGGCAAGTAAAAAGGCACAATCCCAATGTTACCAAACCACACAGCAGGCCATTA